TGAGGTGTGAATTGTGTCTGAGTATGAGTGTCGTTTGTGTGTGTATGTGTATCCGTGTGTGCCTGTATAATAATATTGTGAGTGAGTGTGTGTCAGTGTACGTGTGTGTGTGTGTGTTTGTGTGTGAGTGTGCACGTGTGTGTGTGTGTGTGTGTGTGTGTGTGTGTGTGCACGTGTGTGTCTGTGCGTGTGTGTGTGTGTGTGCGTGAGTGTGTGTGTGATTGTGCGAGTAGTTTGTGAGTGTAGCGAGTAAAAGAGTGAGATGCCTTGAACTTTACCCAAACCTCGCAAATTGATTTTTTTTAAAATCAACGTTCGCAGAGACGTGCACATGTTACACACTAGATCTAGCAGCACAGGGGTCAGTGACCTGCTCAGACATTTAGGTCAATTCTGGATAAACGGGCATTTCCGTCCGGCCGAATGTCCGTCTACTGGCGTCAGTAGTCTAGCGGTTAGTCTGCTGGACTTGTAATCATGAGGTTGCGGGTTCGGGGGTTCGAGTCTCGATTCAAGTCCGACGTTGTGTCCTAAGGAAAGGCACTTAACAGTACACGAATTTTTCTCACTTCACCCAGGTGAGAATAGGTACAGTGAAAGATCTTGTCAGTACTTTAGGTTTATTTTAGCTCCTATAAAAATGGCAGCTTGCACTGTATGCTTCCCAGAAATTTTGAGATTATTTCAGAATAATTCAGTCCTTTCTTGTAGGCCTACACCTTACTCTTTTTTTTGGGGGGGGGGGGTGTCCAAGGAGGGCCTTCTGTGGGCCGCGATGTGGCCCTGAACTAGATCTAGCAGTAGCAGGACATGATAAAGTTGGCCAAAAACTAACTCATTTTCCCTTAGATCTGTCACACCCAAAAAAGGAAAACAGGTCAAATTCCGATTTTCAAAAAATGAGACCTCGATTTCCTTACAGTGGTGAACGCAGTGCGTACCCATGAACATGTAGTACAAGGAACGAGAAGAAAAAACGGAGGGGTAAGAAGAAAAGAACTGCTGTAAGTTTTTGAGAAAGAATGTTTTTATTGGTCTCGTCCTGGAATTCTATTTACTTGAGTCTGAGAAGCCGGTAAAATAAGCTATGAGA